TCCTATGCACACTGCACATATCTTATTTTGAAGTAAAAAAATAAATGGGCAAAAACACCCACATGTGGCCCGCGGGCCGTAGTTTGAGGACACCTGCTCTAGGGGCTGCTCCCTGCGTTCCTGCCTCCCATTCCCTCGGCATCATCCCATTGTCCCCAGAGAGGCTGCTCTCAGCCACAGTTTGGGACTCCTTGCTCTTTCCTGCCCCAGGTGCCTCCTCCCGCCCTCTGTCACAGTCGCCATTGCCCCATGCTATGACTCTTGGTTCACCACGGGTGGTTGCACCTACACCCTCTCTGGTGCTGAGCTTTCAACAGTTCCACTCTGTGTCGAACCCTCCTCTGGAACCCTACCATGGCCTTGCCATGAAATGAACATCTGTGCCAGCCTTGTAAGGAAAGCCAGCTCCGTGGAAGTGGCCTTATCTCCCGCTTTGCCCGCCCACAACCCCTGCACTCCATCCACGCGGAACTGCTTGGAGACCCCTCTCGTTCCCCTGCATAGCCATGTAGCCACACACAGAATCACCTCGGCTCGTAATGTCTGGTCCCTGGGAAGTAGAAGGATGGGGCAGATGGGTCTTTATGTCATTTGCAGGTGAGGACATTACCTCTAAGTCCAATAGATAAAGTTCTACTCTTTTGACAATTAGACTCCATTCCCTCATCAACTCTTTCCTGGACTTTTATCATGGCCTCTTAAATGTTTTTTCCTGCCGGCCTCTCCCCACTCAAATCCACCCCCACAGCCTCAGGAATGATGTAACCTACTAAATTGTTCTTAATGATGGAAAATGTTCTGAACACTGTGTCCAGAAGTGCAGCTTCCAGCACTGCTTCCCTGTAAGGTTCAGAGCAAGTTACGTGCCCTTTCTGTGACTCAGTTTCTTCACCTGTAAATTAGACATGTTGGACTATATAAAGTCTAATATCTGTACTTATTCTATAGGATTGTGATTCTAAGGAATCATTTTATGGTCTTCAATGTCTTCCAGGCTCAGATGATGCCCATGCATGGGGCATTTTGACTCCAAAATTTCACCTGCTATTACCAGAAACTATGGAATACATTATACATTCTTGGCTCATGTGTGGTGGCTCATGCCTATAATCCTAGCACTTTGGGAGGCCGAGCCAGGAGGATTGCTTGAGGCCAGGAGTTTGAGACCAGCCTGAGCAAGAGCTAGACCCCTTCTCTACAAAAAATTTAAAAATTAGCCTGGTGTTGTGGCATGTGCCTGTAGTCCCAGCTACTCAGGAGGCTAAGAAGGGAGAATCGCTTGAGTCCAGGTGTTTGAGGTTGCTGTGAGCTATGATGATGCCACTGCACTCTAGCCCAGGTGACAGAGCAAGACTATGTCAAAGAAAGAAAGAAAAAGAAAGAAGGAAGGGAGGGAGGGAGGGAGGAATACATTCTGCATAAAACTAATGTTAGTGAATAATTAATTCAAGCAAAATGCTTTTGGGTATATAAGAGAATAGAGAGAGACTGACCACAGGATGAGAGAGATGAGGGGTATGGTATGTGTGCATCTTGGGATGGAAGGCCTCAGGTATTAGAATTCAGTTAGGGTAGCAAAGCCTCTAACAGCAGACCAAATTTTAGTTTCCAGAAGAAGCCACTGCCTGGAACATAGAGGGAAAGCAAGATGGACATACATAAAGCTCAGATAGTGATGGTGTGCTAGCCCATTTTGCATTGCTATAATATTAAAAAAAAATACCTGAGACTGGGTAATTTATAAAGAAAACACATTTATTTGGCTCAGAGCTCTGCAGACTGTACAAGTATGGTGACAGCATCTGCTTCTAGAGACGGCTTCCGGAAGCTTCCAATCGAGGCAGAAGGTGAAGGGGGAGCAAACGTATCACATGGTGAAAGAAGGAGCAAGACGGGGAGGAGTTGGTACCAGGCTCTTTTAAAAAGCCAACTCTCACGTGAATTAATAAAGTGAGAACCCACTCATTATCACGGAGGCCACCAAGCCATGCGAGAGCGATCCGCCTCCATGACCCGGACACCTCCCACCAGGCCCCACCTCCAACACTGGGGATCCAATTTCAACATGAGATTTAGGGGGGCCACACATGCACACCATATCGGGTGGCAAGAGCCAGGAATTAGCAAAGCAGCATCAAAAAGCTACATGATAAAAATCCTCTAATCCCGAGTAAGGAAGCAAAGACAGAGAGGTAGAAGAGTGAGCAGTAGATATGAGTGAATTGTATGTGGAACATGATTTTGACTATGGACTCACCAGCCTGCGACTATGGAAATTAGGTAACATTTTTATTTATGCTCCCAAAATGACTCAAGTCTCCCACCTGTCAAGAGAGAAATTTGAACTCCTCAAAATACCCCCAAGTTTTCTCTGGGTGTTCACAGTGGGGCTGACACACAACATCTAGAATGCCCCAATAATTAATTACCATTAAAGTCTGCCTTTTCTCCTCAAGTCGACATTCACCATCTGTAAGGGCAAAAAGTCTCACCAAGGCTCTTGTTTCTCCTGCTTACTGATGATCTAGAAATAGAGCCTTCTGGATTTTTTTTGACATACATCCAGGCAATAGGTTTTCAGTGATACCCAGGGTAGGATCTCCCAAATCCACAAATTACCTGCAGTGATTTGAAAATCCAGTAAAGGGGGGATGCAACCTCCCTTTTCCCCCTCTCCCCAAAGGTAGCCTCTTCTTCACAGATGTTAGAACAAAGAGTGTAAGATACTGGGCTATAAGGACAATGGACACCTTCCAGCTTCTGTTTACTGCTTGTTTGCTAACCGCAAGGCATTATGAGTACATTATGGGATGCAGAGGAGAAAGACAAAGAACTCGGAAACTGGAGTCTCTCGGCTAGGACCTGGAACAGGTTAGAGCCTATGAGGGGCAGGATGAAGTAAGAATCACTGTGGGGGCGGATGCATGATCAGTATGTAAACAGCTTAGGTATAAAAGGCTCACTAGCACACAAAGGGGGGGTTGGGCCTGCCCGAAGAAGAAGCCACTGCGCTGGCACTCTGGGGGCTCAGAGCCTAGCTGGAGCTAGACAATAAAACTCCTTTTGATAACTACAGCCTCGGTGACTCTGTCTCTCTGTCCCCCTGGCCCTGCAAATCTCAGCTATAGAACAGGAGAGACATTTGTCTAGAGCAAGAAGCTGTCTCGATCACTAGGAATCTCAACTCTTTCACCTCGTAAGCCCCGGGGTGCGTTCTCACAGTTGACACCGCGGGGAGAAGAAGAGCAGGTGACTAAGCAAGGCGAGCCTGCCAGTCCCCAGTGTGCGACGCTGACTGCTGCAGGGCTGGCTCTCTCAGACTCCCACTCAGGTTTTGTGCAAATGTGCCGCGCCAACGCCCCACTTTCAATGCGTCTTCCTTGATCCTGCTGCTCCCGCCTACACCGAGCCCTCCTCGGGATGGCCCCACAGCACGGCTCACTTGCCCTAATCAGACCCCCGCTACCACCTCCTCTGGGAAAAGTAGTTTGATCTCCTAGTCGTGTTTGCACCATGCTGCCCAGTGTTGATGATAAACCTTTGCTTAGTTAATTTTCTTCCAGTTTTGTGTAAACCACAGTATGTGTCTAAAATATGGGTTTTGCAAAGGACCAGATGTTATCATAGGCACCGATTGGTGTTAAACTGGCCACTTTCTCACTTATTTTATCACATGTTTAGTTCTTACGGACATCAACTGGCATTACATTGATCTGTTTTTCCGCTTGATTTTTGACCATTTGCATGTTTTTAGCGCAAGCGTATTTTTCCTTAGATATTTATGATCAAACTTAGCCCTCCGCATTTTACTTTTTGTTTCTTCACTTATTTCCCTTATTTCCTTAATTTTAAAATCTCCTTAGGAGAAGAAGAAGCTCAAGTTAAAAAAAACCATATTTTTATGGTATATTGTGTCTTTATCTTTCTCCTGTTACTTTTTAAACTGGTTTTGATACTCTCCCTTCACCAACACAGCTTTTTTCTATCTGGTGTTGCCCACTCAATGTTTTCTGTTTATTATCACTATCCCCTTAACTAACTTTTTCTGACATCTATAAAATTCTCTCCCCTTGCAGTGAGTCATAGTGAGCCTGGCTGAGGGTAGGGAAGCAGGTTCTGCCTTGTCATGTGAGGGGCACAGACACATGGTAATGAAAATAGCATGAGGCATGAGGTTGGGCATGGGAACCTGCACAGAGTAAATTATAGTTGGATAAATGGCCATGAATACACAACATAACTTGCAATAGTGCCCGTGCACTGAGAGTTGATAAAACTCAGCATGACTTTTGGAGGGAAGTTGCCTACTACCCTGTGCAACTGTTGCTGGAAGCACTAAGGAAAAATTGCCAGTTGCTGCTAAGAAGAGAGAAACAATTCTTACAGGTCATACTTAGCATCAAAAGAAATCCTGATTCTCTCCAATCTGCTTGCATCCCTTTCTAGCAAATAAACCACATTTCACAGAGATTTTTGGAATTGTGATAACAGCCTGCAATATGCCCTTCTGATTATGTTATGTTACAGGTTGGTCTCCTTGCATTTGCGACACGTTGCATTTTCAAACTATTGCTTATAAAAACTTAAAAGAAGACCTCACATATTTGAGTTAATGATGATACTGTTTTTTTCAGTAAACAATTTCAGAAACTCAGGTGTGTTTTTTTTTAGGCAATTCTATTTTATCTTCTTTTTGCATCATTATGGAGTTATGCCTTTTTGATGCCTTAATGCAAACCTTGCTTTCTTTCAACATCTGGAATGCACAGTTTAATTTTCCCTGCCTTGAGATATGGAATCAACTATCTTCCCGAGGGCATTAATTCTTTGTTTCCATAGGGCTGCTTTAGAAGCGACGGGCACTGGGTCTACAAAAAGCTTGTTCCGCATTTGAACTAGAATTTGGCAGGATGACAGCAAAAATATTCAGTAACATAAATCACTGTAGGGACAGAACAGATAACTTCTCCTTTAAAAAAAACCATGGATTCTTATTGACATTTCCAATTCACCTCTATTTTAATAAGTTCTTTTGCTTTACTCTTATAATAAGAGAGTTTATTAATCCATTTTTTCAACTTTCGAGCAGCTAATTTTTCTTGTTTTCATTAATGTTAACAACCACAAAAAGCTACATATTGTCATTCCAAATCAGAGGTCTAAATTTCAATGCTGATACCCCAAAATTTGGGAGACTCCATATCTTTTCTTCATTCTTGACCCTCAGTTCAGCCATCCTGAAACCGGCCTCACAGGTTGCAGGTCCTATCAATTCTTTGCTCAGCATCACCTTAGCACCAATATCTGAAAGGAAGGAAGCCCCAGCCTCCATCTAGAAGAACACTAAAGAAACTAAGAGTTCAGAACATCTCTGATACATAGATACCCTGTTTGCCTAACAAAAGATAATAAAAGGTGAATATAGCCAAATACCGCATCTCAAAGTTAAAAAAAAAAAAATTCTATGCCAATTTTCTCCATTTGAGCTACCCAATTTGAATTTATTTTATAGTCATCCCCTTTATATTTTTTCTCCAACTAGTGCCTTTGTATATCTATGGAGCATAATTTTTAGTAGTAAACTCTAGCTTCACAGAGGCACTTGGGTATATACACTGGTGCACTGGCATCAGCCTGTGCTGATAGACCAGAGTCAGTTGTGCACATCTCTTCCCAATTCTGTATTCGTAGCTTGAAATCAGCATAGTGGAAATATTTACACCATGGAAATTGGCAAACACTATAAATCAGGATTTTTTACCCACAGACCCAATTGTTAAGCATTTACCAGGACAACTCTGGGTACGCACCTCATTTTTCGCAAAACCAGTCAAAATGTCAGAGCATAATCAATCAGCATCCAGAATTGTCAGAATCATGTGACAAACATTGTGGTTAAAATTTCCCACTCAAGAAGTTTACATAGAACAGCTTTGGGGACTTTATAGCCTTTCTACAGTATTTACTAAGTAGTCCTCCCCAAAACCAATCCTCTTAAAAGACAAAAAAAAAAAATATAATTGAATTGTAGCACATTTTAGTTGCAATATCCAAGGCACATTACATTTAGCTCTCCATCAGTTTCAAGTAATTTCCAGATATTTGTGATCCATCCCCAGAAGGTTTTATTTCCACAACAGACAAACATAGGCAATTCAGTAATTTCTGGTTATTAACATTTCTGGGCGAATATATAACTTTTTGCATGAATTAATACGCACTGTGCTCTCCCCTCCCCATCATTCCACAGTAAGTGTGTGTCTTCGGGGTGACATGTAAGGTCAGAGCCCAGCAAGCTCTGAGTGTGGGGTCTCACTTGGCCAAAATCTAGAACAGGCTGGAGGATGCTACGTTTCCTTACTGGGGCTGGATGGGTCATTTGTCCTCGCTTACCAGTGGTCTGTCATGTGTTCCACCACCACCCTCACCACTACGCTGTGCCCCACCATGTTATTCCCAGGAATGTAATGGCCTCAGATATCTCACCATTCGAAATTGTTCATAGTAGAGGTTCTCAGTTTGTTGTTTATTTAGCACCTGAATTTAGGCAAGAGAAACAGTTCTACCTGAAGAGTCCATGTAGTTAAATTCTCCTGCCTTTTTATTGGCACTTCCAGAGAGAGCCATGGTCTCTCCAGGTGAGGAAGCCAGGATGCTCTAGCCTCACTCTCCAGCTGCCTTGGACAGTACTTGGCTTGATTTCTCTTTCTGGGATCATGGCAGTCGGAGCCATAGCTCATCTAAGCCTATCAGTCTTCCTCCATGCTTTCCGGCATTCTCTGTCACCCCAACCCCACACCTTGGACAAGACTTCCTCTGACATTGCCCCCATATTTTCACTTGTGTCAAAATTAGCTAGGTCTTGTTGGAGCTTTGGGCATCTGACTGTTTGGCCACACCAGCTCCTGCCACAAGACTGCTCTTGATGCTCTCACTCTCCTCTACTCTGAGTTTCCCTCTATCCTAATACTGTCCATTTACATTCCTCCACATTCTACAACATTCTATTTTCTTCTACTGTGTTTTCTTACCTATTACTAGAGGAAGGCTTAGGGGTAAGGGTGTATTCCAACTATTTCCCTTTTTCCCTGTGTCAGAAATCATCAGAAGCCACAATCCCAAGTCCAGATCCAAAATTGACCCAAAACAAGTATTTTTGTTTTCTAAGATGTGTAACCTTGAAGACACGCCCGATTTTTCATTGGTCTCCCACCTATCTCTCCAAACAAATATGCATCAGGCTAATATTGTTAACCATTTCTATATAGCTTTCCATTTCTGTTATTCATTCAAAACATGAGTTATTTAAAATCTTCTTTTTTATTTCCAAGAGGATAATTTTTTTTATTTTCTTTTACTTTGTTGTCTTTTTTTATTTTGTTGCATTATAGGGAAAGTGTGAGACTTCATGGCTTCTGCTTATTGGGCAATATGCAAGATAGTATTGTGGGTTGTTAAAACTTATGCATAATATAGCATATTGCATTTATCATCTACTATTTACTTTTTATATTCCTTATTTTATTCTCCAAATTATCTACCTGATGTGGGCATATCTGATTTATTTAATTGCTGTTAAGGATTTTATTTATGAAGATGCCACAATTGATTCACTCATTCTCCTATTGGTGGACATTTTGGCTAATTTCTTTCTATCTCTTCCTCCTTTTTACAATGCCAAACAATGATTCATAGAACAAATTTGTGGGTCTCTCCTTTTTCTATGAATGCAAGTTTTCTCTAAGATGGGGGCCTAAAATCATAATTGCTTGATCACAGGTTATTTAATATACTGCTTTACTAGTATCCCCAGATTACAACCCAAAGATGTTATAATAGTTTATAAATTCTCATGTAGCTTATGAGAATTTTCCCCACATTCTTGCCAATACTTGATAATTTTTTTTATTTTTGCCATTTGGATGGTTGTGCCACAATATCTTTTTTAATTTTTGCACGTCCCTGGAGAAAGACCATATATCTTCAGATTGAAGAAACTTGGGTCCTGAGCAGAATAAATAAAAATAAATCATCATAGTGAAACATCAGAACAACTGAAGATAAAGACAAAAATCTTAAAAGCAATCAAAGAGAAAATACAACTTACTTACCATGGAAGCATGAGTAGACTGACAGCAAATCTCTCATTGACAATTATAGAGGTTGGAAGACAATGGGATGATATCTTCAAAGTGCTGAGGGGGGAAAAAAACCTATCAAACTACAATTGTATAGGAAGCTATTCAGCCCACAATTATTCTTTCAGTAGTTGTATCTCTGTGTCCCAAGTGGCCTTCCCACCTTCTTCAGAAATAGATTCTGCTCCTTGAACAAAGGTGTGGGTAGGTGCCTAAAGCTTGGCAAATTCCAGCACTTCATGGCCCCAGTAACATGATTGGTTCAAAGAGTAGGCACATAAACAAAGAAAGACAGAAAGAGCTCTGGACACTCTCAACACTTAGACCAGCTCAACCCTGCCCTCTTCACGCTTTGAAAATGCCTCTTCTTTGTTTCTGTCCCTTGCATCTGAGATTCTTAAGAGGAAGCTTTTCCTAAGATTTAAAAAAGTTGGGGAAGGGGTCAAATGGGACTCAGAGAAAATGAGAGAAAGACAGTGAAAAGCAACTTAAGAGGTTTTAATCAGAGTTCATGTTTTAGCTGACTGGAGGTATAGGAGTGGTAGAGAGCAGATGAAGTGTGTATCCCAACCTCTGAGAAGGATGGGAGACAGTGGCAACTACAAAAAGCAACAGATAAAGCATTGGCCATCAGTGGATGAACTTTCATAGGCCCATCTACCAACACCTTTTCATCTCAGGAAATAGAGCAACTCAATTTCTCTGTGTACTCTCCCACCACAAGCACAGAAACCCCATGGACCTGAGTGTCCATATGTTGCACATCTGTGCTCTTTTTATTCAAACTAAAGACAATATAGTCCATTTAAAGCACAGAATTTCAAAACTGGAAAATTTCTTAAAGACCCCTTAATCCAAACCCTTCATTGTATAGATGGGTGAATCAAATATACAGGACGAGGGTTTGGAGTAACATAGCTAGTCATTGACAGATCTAGGGATGGAACGTGGATCTCCTAACCCCTAAGTCATTTCTACTCCCCTGTGTCATACTCTCCCTGCACCCACCTGAACTAAAACCCTGTCATCATAACTAAAGACCCCACAGACTGGATATGGACGGGGTTGGCCATTATAATGGTATATTACTATCACACCATTGTAATAGTCAAATGGAGTTGGGGAAAGATGGCTTGGAGCAGTACCCTGATGTGGGAAAACCAAATGCAACCAGCAATTTGGAGTAGACTCTTCTCCCATATTAAGCCCTCCTTGAGTTCACACTTAGCACTTATCCCCCCTACACACATAAAAAAATTTAACTCTAGAAAATGAAGACTTCAATAGACATTGGAGCAGAAAAGAATCAAGATCCACATGGTAAAACTTAATTAGATGTTGCCATCAAGTCTTCTCTGTTCTCTTTTCAAAGTCTTTCTCTTTATGTCTTATTCCTTGGTGGTCTCTCCCTCCAGCTCCCCACTCATAACTACAAAATCCCCTTCCTTTGTCCAGAGCCCTTTGCCTCTATGCCAGGATTGTAATGCCACTTGGCAAGGCAAAAGTGCTTTGGTTTGCCAATTATCTCACATTCCCCAAGCCTGCCCCACTCAGGAAGCTCAGTTCATTCAGCCAAGGTGTAAGTATAGGGCATGCATGGTTCTCTGTCCAGAGTATGGAATCAACACTTCCTTTTCTCAGCACCATATGGCTTCAAGTATTGTTCTATGTCAATAAATAGAATGAGTATACTCTATTTGATCACAATAGTCATATTTCTGGAATCCAGAATATCTGGAATCTAAGAATCCAGTGTTTTTACCCATTTTCTTAAAATTTTTTGAGCCTCGACTTTCAAAATGCCAACAATTAAAAAACTTACTAATATGTTATGTTTGCTCTTATGTAAAGGTATTAAATTTAGCAAAATAGCCACAATTTAGGCCGCAAGAAGAAATATCAAATTGAGTCTATATTTAGAAATCAGATAATTTTTTAAAAATCAAGATATATATTAAGTCAGATTATACCAAGAGGCTGATATATTCAAATGGAATCTTACTTTATAAATATTGTGGATAAGCCTAAATAGAAATATTGCTCAGGGAAGAGGAAAAATAATTTGTAACATCCAAGAATTTTAGTTTAGTAGATTTTTATTTTGTGAAAGCTAGTTGTTTGTTGTCTTAAGTGAGACCAAGCACCTGTTCATGAGAGTTACTCTGTGGAGTAGTGGCAAGGGACCATGTGGAAGGTCCAACATTGTATCATCTATTTCTAGATACTCTGACAAATGAAGGCAGAGCACTGTAATCCACCCAAAAACCTATTGATGACAGAGGAAGGACCCTGCACATTTCTTCTGCTCTAAGTGGATGACATTTGTTCACACTTGGTCTTAGGCTAGCACAGAGTCTCTGGCTGCAGCCCTTCAAGTGCTTTTTTCCCCATTAGGGCTGGGGCACGTAAGACAGTCACATTTTTGTCTAAATCACAGACATAATCTTTGAATAACCAATTGAGCTGGAGGGCAAGACCAACCAGAAAGTTTTAGGAAAAAGGGTTGGTAACTTACTGCTAGTCTTGCAGCATATGAGACCTTTTGTGTAAAAGTTGATACTGGGTTCATTTTGAGAAAGAGAATGAGATATTTCCTTCTCATTATTTTGATGATAATTACCTTTCTTACTATCAATATCTTTTAAAAAGGAATTGTAAAGACAGGGCATTTCTAGGTAAAGTCTGCTCATCATAGTAGAGTGGAAAGTATACCAAGTCCACACTCTGCTGAGTCAATGGCATGATGGGTATATGAAGACTTAAGAAGTGGACCAGGAAGGGGTTTGAAGCCATGCTCTCGAAGCTGTTTTTATACATTCTGGAGAATGGTAGTTGTCCACATCAAATAACTGGGATTGGAAAAGGAATAGAGATGTAAAGCCACAGTCCTTGCGTTTAGGAGGTTTACATGCTAGTGGTGGAGACAGGAAATAAACAAGTACACAAATAAGTACGAGAGAAATGCAAACCGTGGTAAGAGCTATGATTTGAGAATGATCATCACATTTCTCTGTTTTGCTGTGTGAGTGCTTTCTACATGCCATCTCTGCTAATTGCCTTACGTGTGTTTCCTATTGAATTGTCCCCACCTGTCAGATGAGGCTTAGCGAGCTTCAGTCACCTGTCTAATGTCACACAAGTAGTAACACTCAGCCAGGGATTCCACTACAGGGGTGTCTGTTTCCAGATCCCTCTCTTTGAACCATCTCACATGCCACCTCTCCCAGTGATGGAGAAGGGAGAGTTTCAATGGTCAACTTCCACTTCTGGTGAGAATGTGAGAGCTTCCCTGATCCCACGCTTTTAGCTCACACTCATGCCTACCCTTGAACCCACCTATAATGAGACCATCAACCAATTAAAGTGAGCACTTGTCACTGTAGGGTGAGAGCAGTGCATCTGTGAGTCATGGCTTCAAGCCCCACGTGGATGGAGGAGAGGGTAGCATAGGAGGAGAAGATGGTAGCATACTCCTAAGTGTGCTCAGCAGTCCTCTGGCATTGTTGCATGAGTCTGGGCATCTAAACCCATGGTTTGGGCCTTCTGCCTGGTGGTTGGAATTTTCATTTCTGAATCTTTACTTATATACTCAATAAATCCCTAAATGGTTTTGTCTTCAATATAGTTTCATTATTTATTCAGTCAGCAAATACTGACCCTGTTGGCCAGTGACACTGATGATGGGACTTGCTCATGAAATTGAAAGCAGACACTTTTTTTATCTTTTAGGTATATTATAACTGTAAAAGTGCTTAGTGCTCCAGGGTCCCATGAAAGGTGGGTTCCTACAAAACATGCAGACTTGGTTAGTCCCCTAAAAAACTTTAAAAAACTTAGTTCCCTAAAAAACTTAGCCCTCCAAGCAAAAGTTGGTTAGTCCCCTAAAAAACTTTAAACAGGGGATCAGACTTTAAGTCAAAATGAATTCTGAAAAAAAAAAAAAAAAAAGAATTCTATATTTAGGAAGAAAAAAACACACACACACTTGATTTTTTTCCTCTGTCTAAATAATGTCCTAGTCTAACCAAGTTGGCATTCCCTGTGTGAGAAAGTCACTATGTAACACTGTTCTAAATCAGTCCTATCCCAATGGGGTTTAAAATGTTTAGAAAATAGAGCTGCCTTAAGAAGCAGCTTTATGAAGCCTTGTTGGGTGATATATGTACGTTAAAGTTTTTTTCATTGTCACAGACACTTGAGTTTTACAAGTCAGAAGGGAGAAGGAATCAGAGTGAATTGCCAGCCAAATCTCTGCCTAAAATTGGTATTAACTGAACAGCACCTAAGTGGTCACATAGGTACTACAGTAATAGGGTATTGGGCAGGTGGAGGGGGCGGTATATACATAACATAATGAGTGAGATGTCACCATCTTAGGGGATGGTCATGATGGAGACTCAGACTTGTGGGGGGAGGGGGGAAATGGGCATTTATTGAAACCTTAAAATCTGTACCCCCATAATATGCTGAAATAAAAATAAATAAATAAATAAAAAGAAAAAAAAATCTCCGCCTATATGGATAAGAACCATCATGAGGTTTATCAGAGCAGACACCATGACCTCTTGTTGGCATGATTTTGAGCAAAGGGGAGGGGGGTGAGGGGGGGAGCACCCACCTCTCCCAGAGAACGTGAAGCATCAGCAGAAGGAAAGAAGCCACAAAAAGGGAAGAATCTCTCTCTCTCTCTCTCTCTCTCTCCTCTCTCATACACACACACTCATGAACACACTTGGTACCAAATACTCCCACTTCTTTCTTTGGACTCCAGAGATTCTTTTGTTAGGACCCCAAGATCTCACCAAAATCAACTTTACACTAGAGAAGAGGACATGTGTCCCATGAGAAGCTGGATTCAAGTTTTGGCTGAGCAGTTTTGAAGACTTAAGACAATGCAATAATAGTAAATTAAAACTGTAGGTGAAAGTGACTTAAGGAGGTAGATTCAGCAGTCAGAACCAACCCAGTGTAAACTAATGTACCCATGGCACCAGGCCATTTGAGGATTAGAGAGACCTGGAGCCAGAATGCAGCCAGCTGTGGGTCAGCACCCTCAT